ACTTAAAGGGCCAGTGTGTAGCATTTAGAGGGTCTATCAGCAGAAATGGAGTATTATAATAATAAGTATTTTTTTCTTTAGCGTATAATCACCTGAAAATAAGAATCGTTGTGTTTTTGTTATCTTATGATGAGCCGTTTATATATCTACATACGGAGCGGGTCCTCTTCACGGAGCCAGCTGCCATGTTTCTACAGTAGCCCAGAACGGACAAACCAAAGACTGACCCCAGATAGGGACATTTGCATTTTCACGTTATCGTGTCGGCCACCGTCCTCCACGCCTGACATTTCAGTCTGCTGCATTCTGCAACCTCACAGCTAGATGCTACCAAATACTGCACCTTTAAGAAGGAATCTGTTCGTAAGAGTGGTTCTAGCATGAGGCCTAATATATTTTTGACAAAGTCAAGAAAGTGGTGGGGGGACAAAATCCAGCTACTCAACATTACTCCAGAGATTCTTATGTATTTCAGGCTCGGACAAAAAACTGTTCCCAGAAAAACAAAATGCATGAGACGGGTGGTCCTTTAATGAATGCTCTGATTGCTTCCTGCGTGATTGAAAGGGGAGAACATTTTCTCTCGGAAACATTTTCAGGGTCTTAGTTAACTCTAATGGAAGCATAAAAGAGGGCATTTGTTTTGGAAAGAACCGAGTAAAAGCATTCATTTGTGCAAGATGGAAAGACTAATCTAAATGTAGAGGGACATCAAGCCCTTCGTTATGGTCCACTTTCTTTTTGCTTTCATGCCAGCGTTAATTTTAGAGAGCGAGGTTGTTTGTATTTGTGAATGATTAAGATATATTTTCAAATGCAGCTCTTCCCAGGCTCCTGGGCGGATTGTGCTGTCTTGTTTCTATCTGGGGGAAAGCCTGGCGTTCAGTGGCTTTCCCTTTCCCACTCGACCGCTTTATCCGTGTTCAGTGCATCGTATATCAGCTCCCTGCACCCAGTCGAGTGCTAGCTCTGTCAGATAGATTATGCAAATGACATGAAAAGTTAAGGATAGCTGAAATAGTATGCAAATGTATAGGGAAGGGTGGCGAAAATGGACCAGTGGCAATATCAAGACCAAGAGCTGTATCATTACTGGAGTAGGGCAGAGAGAAGAGTGTGTAGGTTCATGGCTCAAAGTGTCTCAGATGTGAAGGGCACAGATTCAATTTGAAGTTATTGAGATTATGGTCAAGTTGGTACTCTTTCTTTCTGTCAGCAGCTGTTGGCCACAATAATCCACGCATGCCATGGAAAGTATGATAACCATGACATGAGGATACAAAATAAATTACCAAAATGATTCTTATTTACTGGAGTGGTAAAAAGTGGTGAATAAGATATAACTTTTAGTAATCAGATCACTGTATCTCCATTTAAAGGTGAGTAAGCCTCTCAACGGCTCTCAACATGGCGACGCCTGAGCCGACGGCTTCCAGCTAACGGTGCAAACAGTGCTAACAGTGTTAACTGGAGGGGGGAGTCGGAAGGGTGGGCGCGACGTTATCAGCTGTAACCTGCGTATGAGAGCAGCGGTGAGCTAACCAGCTGGGGCACACTCACACGCGCTATGATAGCAACTTACTTAGCAAATAGTTGTTTGGTGCTATATTAATGCTCTGAATGTCATATATTACTCCTTTTAAGAAGTGTTTCTCTTACAAATGACCATTTGACACCAAATAATTGGTGATCTCATAACACTATCCTGTTATTCTTAACCTTGCCAACATTGTCATGATCCCAAAATGTTTTCTTTCTTTAGAGACTGTGATTGTAGCATGCAGTATTTAGTTATTAGTATTTATTTAGTATTTAGTATTCTGCTCTTAAGAGAATGGAGAAAGCTCCAAAATAGGTTGTATAGACATGATGACATATGAAATGTAAGTATAGCATTCTGTCTTAAGAAGACTAAGCTAACTTAAGCTTTGACACTAACTAGCATGCTAACATGCACAATGACAATTTTGGTTGGCCCAGTAGTAATGTGTTCACCCTCTTAGTTTGGCCTGCCTGGGACAGTGCCCCACTTCATGACAATCCATCCAACGGTTGTTGAGACATTTCATTCAAAAGCATCCATATCCACCTCACGGTGGCACGAGAGGAAAAGTTCACCAAAGTCCTCTAAGCGAGAACCATGAATGCCTGTAGGTATGAAATATTTCAGACTGGACCCAAGTTTCATCCTCCCTGCCTCCTAAATGCCCTTCTTTCAAAACCCACATCTCCCGTCTCTTGTCAAGCCCCAGCTGCGATAACGCTGGTGTTATTTGGGAACTCCTCCACTGCCACATAATATACTATTAAACTGTTTTCACAAGCGGCCATTTTAAAATGTCGTCGCAGGGTAAACCATGGGTCAATAATTGATAACATTAATTACGGCCCTGTTCAATGTAGGTGGGCCTTTGTGCATGCAGGCTTTCTTCAATGGCTGTGACACACTAAATGGAACAGGACCATAAATGATTTTATCAGTCACACCTGTGTTTACCCTGCTATGACACGCGAAAATGGCTGCTGTCGGAGGGGCATAGTGCTCCTCAGAACGAGTAAACTGAACCTAATGTGTAAAATAAGTGGAGTGTCGCTTTAAAGGCAGTATTTCAGTAGAGATGTGCCTTTTACATGTGTAAATGATTGTGGTTTCTTCTCCTCATTTGATTAATCACATGGTTGTAAAAGCAGAGATTCAGTATATTTTTCGCTTTAGTCAGCTTCTAATATGTTCATTAACTCTCTGTTGGAGAAAAGAAAGCAGCTCACATCATTGCTGGCTCCGTGTGCTTTTCCAGTCGGCTGCACTGAATCTGCAAATGCAACTTCACTCATTATGGAAATTTTGTAAAAATCCCTTCAAAACTGGATAAATTGCCTCAACACAGCTTTAAAAAAAGTACACTCAAAGTCAGTTAGAAAGTTTTGTCTTATGCATGTGTCTTCATCGAATCATGAAGAAACTAATGTTACAAAATACTGAAAAGCTCTTTTGTAAAATGAAAATGAAAGCTACTGATAATGTGCTGTTGTACCTCAGATGATCCGATGGCAAACAAATGGACATCCTTTGTCTAATTATAAAGCTTCTGACGGACATTGCAGGACTTTTCATTAATAGTAATATTGACAAAAAAGCTCATATAAATACACTCTGGTCGAATATAATTAATGTGTGAGAGCGTATCTTTGTAATGCGGGAGCGTATCCAGGGCCTACACCATCACTTATGCTGCGCTGGTTTACTCATTTGTTCAACTCACTTAGTAGGGGCCACTTAAGGGAGCACATAACAATATCAAATGGACTTAGTCAGCAGGCTAGGAAATGATCATTGCTCAAAACATCTCTGCAAGGCAAATAAACAGGTCCCTCTAATGACTTCCCATAAAGACGTTTTTATATTTCTAGATGAGCCGAGGTCACACACGACCTGTTTCATGTGCTGTTGACTACGAGTGGTAATGTGGTACAGTGGAAATGGTCACGGTGTGCTAGTTTTTACTTATTTTTACCTCAGTGTACCCGTCGATACGACACCCGCTCTGTGTTTTGTAAAATATTTCCATTCACTCTCATCAATCTGAGGTCTCTACCATGGGACTGGGTTGTCACTAGCTGTGACTGCTACCCAATGGCCCCTGTTCTACCGGGGGCCCATTCTATACTCTTAGGGTTTTATCCAGAATCCAATCAAAGGGTTCCACCAAGAGCTCTTATATATTCAAAGGGTTACATCTGGAACCTAACCCATGGGGTTCTACCGGTAACTTTTTTTGTGTTCCAAAGCATAACCCCAAAGGCCCGGGAATGATGTGATGCAGCGCAAACCTAAACAATCGTGGGTCACAATCACAGTTTTTAGTGGGGTGTGGGCTGGGCTGTGGGCGTTCCCTCACAAAGAATTGAAAATGGTTCTTAATCGAACCCATAGTCTTACAAAGAACCCTTGTAAAACCCTTTCTTCAAAAAAGGGTTCTTCAGAAGCAAATGGTTCCAGGTAGAACCTCAGGCCTTGAGTGAGAACCCGTTTGGAGCCCTTATTTCTAAGAGTGTACAGTTTTCTTAAAAAACAAATGCTTTTATCCATTATTACTCACTAAAACGCATTCAGTTTAACCTCGAGCTCCACCAACCGTCTCGAATGCATTTCCCTCTTTGTTAAACATTTGTAGGCAAAGTATTTTAGATACAGCCTTGTTTACTTGCTGCCTTTTTATTCACTTCCTCTGCTGGCACATTGCTGCATATCCTGCCCTGGTATTTCACCACCTGTTAATCAGTGTGACACCATTGGTAGGACTGACTCCCGCGTGAATGTTGTGACTCTTGTGGGCATGAGATATACAAAACAGGGACTTACTCATAAAAAAACTCAGCAAGGAGCCTTAGAGTTACTTAATAATTGTTAAATACCTGTACATAAAGGACATGAATATGTTGATTCATCTCAGCCACGGTCTTGGCTCATAAACATGCAGAGGCCGTATGTTTCTGGTGAGCAGTCTGTGGGCAGGAGCAATCTGTTATCTTCTGAGTGGCTGTTGATTCTTTGTTATCTCTGTGTTATGGGATGATACAGTGGTGAGTAACAGGATAGATGGGGGTCAGGGAGTGGAGGTCAGGCACCAAACAGCGTGCACCTGGTTCACAATTTTGCAGCCCCCATAACAAGCGTTTTTTTTTTGATACAGGGCATGACCCATGTCCCGTGTCTATGATGTCTTCGAGCACAGATCTGCTCATTTCTGCTGTCTGATTTCCTGCACTGATACAACGCTGCAGCCTGTAGTGGCTTGCTTCCTGCCCACTGGAAAATACCCATTTATCTCATTTATTGTCTCAGGTTGTACTCTCTCTCCAATCCACCCACATTGTCCATCCCCTGATATTGGCTCCCATCACCAACGCTTTGACTGACCGCCCAAATCCAGCTGATGATTCCTATAAACTGGAACTGATGCAATGCTCCTGTCACTCCGTCTGCTTTCTCCCTGTAGGCTGGACCCACATCCCAAAGGCTTTATCTTCCAGATTCTCCAGCTGGTGACCCTTTGTTTTAGACTCTTCCCTTGTACCTGCTCGACTCCTTGCTCGTCTGGCTGTGCTGAGCGATGAAGATTCCTCTGTGGTGCCTGGTGGTGCTGCTGGCAAGTCTCTTCACCCCTGGACACAGCGACTGCCAGGGGGAATGTGTGGCCTGCGGTGTGCTCTTGCAGCAGCAGCAGCTGCAGCAAGTCTTCAACACCATGGTGAGTATTTGTGTGTGTGTGTGTGTGTGTGTGTGTGTGTGTGTGTGTGTGTGTCATTGTTTGTCGTCGTGAGTCACTGTTGATAAGAGCATCCACCTTGTAGTGTGTGTGCCAATGTGGTTACAGTGTCACCCTGATGGAGGTGTTTGTGTTTGTGATTGTCTGAGTTATTTTAAGGCACGATAAGAGCTTCTACTTAATTTGTTGTTGTGCACTTTGTTGGCCTGTGTATTAGGGAGTTAATATGAGGGTAGAATGATGTGATTATAGTGGTTTTCTTGTGCATGTGTCATGTTAGTCGAAGGCCTAAAAATTGTAACAAGTAAACATTTTCTGTCAATTAAAGCCAAAAAGCCTCTCAACAAATCTTTAAAAAAATATTTTCAGGTTTTAAACTTCCAAACTAGAAAGGACCAGTAAAATAGAATAAAAGAAGAAAATAAAAATAAAATAACATAGTAAAATTATACATAATAAAGGGAACATCTTTCCACTAGAATATAAATAAATAAAATGTTCCATACTCAGTAGGAAAATTGAGTGAACTAACATTTAAATGAATGATAGAGCAGCCTTCGTTTGATTGCCCAGCCATGCTAGCAACTCTGTGAGGCTGTTCACAGTGGTGCTTTGAGCTAAATGCTAACATCGGCATGCTAACATGCTCTTAATGACAATACATACAATCCTGTGTTTATCAAGTGCAATGTTTAAAGGTGCAATGTACGGGATTTGGAGCATATCTGCCTCCACACGGCTCTTACCACGGTAACGGCTAGCAAGCAACTAACAGTGCTAAGATTTCAAACTACGAGAAAAATGTGCTAACAGAGCTAACAGTGTTTACGTGAGTAGGAACCATAGGGTGGGCGCTAGGCTTCAGCGACAACACCGTTGGTCAGGCCTACATTTGGGGAGACATTGTACTAAAACATTTTTTTAAAACTCATCGTGACACTAGAGGAACTGGATCCAAAAAGTCCTTAAGCTTGATTTTCAGGGAAAGGGAGTTGAGCTAAAATGAAAATAATACTGAGCTGCCCAACAGTTGGCATTTACATTTCAACCAGACAAAATTGGTGTTATTTCTGTCTCATAGTGGAAGAGGGGATTATTTGCATGTGTAAGTATCTATGGCACTTGTGCAATGCTTCGTGATTAACATGAAGATACCAGTCTCGGCACTGAGAGAGTGCGATTGCTCTCCGAACTCGAACCGAAACACCAATGCAGCCCAAAATCTCATTTCCAAACAGTGCGAGACGCAGCGGGTAAATGTCCGTGGACGTCCATGAATAGCTGTAGAATGGCTAATTTAGCTGATAATGATGCAGAGAAAGACAGCTGGGACCTTTTGGGGAGTTGTAATAGAACTCTATAATTGACTGCTGCTCAGTATCATCAGCCCAGGCTTACATTGGTGACTGACACATTTTATCAGTTCCTCATTGTGTTTGCTGCTTTCCCATTGAGCCACAGATGGAATCCACTGAGCAATTCCATTGTTTCCCTCTCCAGACCGCAAGAGTGTGTGTGTGAAGCCGCCGGTGTGTGTTATAATGTCAGGACTCATTGATTTATTAGTGCACACACCTACACACTCGTGAACGCGTCCACACATGCACCCAGACATACACACACACACGGAGCATTTCATAGCATCATCCCTTCCAATGACTACACTCATAGCTTAATGCTAATCTTAAGGGTAAATGCCAACTTTTGTTTACATTTGTGCTAATCATCTCTGCTACAGCTATTATTTACATAATTCTGAGCAGCTTCTGCATGTTGTCTTTGTATATGAATTTTCCTACTTTCTGTAGAGGCCTTTTGACTTTATTTGACAGATGGCAGAACGTGTGACAAAGGTCCCCCTCCAGACTTGATGTAAGGAGTCTAACCTTGACATTATATTTAAGTACCAGCCCTGAACCTAACTCTCCTGACAAAATAAAGCCTTTGAAGGTTCCTCACTACGGAGGATTCTCACAGCCTATTCATCCTCTGGCCCTCACAAGTATATAAATACATCACTGCCTGCGTACACACACACACACACACACACACACACACATCCCCTCTCACTCATAAACTCCTTTAGATTGCTCCATTGATCTGACGTGGAGAATGCCCTGGTGTGCTCATTTCATTTACGATGGATAATTAATTTCCGCTGATAGATTCACAGCGGAACTCCCTCTTCTCCCAGTCCTTTGATGTGAGCAGGTTTTCCGATAACAATGCAATTTATCTCATTTGAGGAAGATTTGACGAGTAAATGGGATTTGCTTCTTACCTCAAACTGAAATTTAACTCGGAGGGCACGGGAGTTCAAGGAAATGGAGTAAGGAGAGATGTGTGTGCATAAGCTGCAGCCTGTTTACCCTGTCTGAAGAGATAGTAGTGCATTGTGGTTTTCTATGTTTAAGGGCATGAATGATCAATTCAGTCATATTTTAAGTGAGTCAGCAGGTGAAAAAGTGTTTTCACCAGACAATCACAAAAATAAAAACCAGATCACTGATTAAACAAACTTTAAATGTTCTTCATACGTCCTTACCTCCTCACTGGTATGAGGACTGTGAGTATTAAGGCATGACGCTGGCTGACAGGTGTGATGATAATAAGACAGGAAGGTCATTAGAACTGCAGAGAGTCAGTGACTCAGCTCTGACAAGTTCATTCTACATAGAAAATACCATATGTCATTCAGTCAGGTACACTCTCGTCATAGATTTTAACCATTTATTGCAACAAATGGAAATACAGTTAAACTTAGCGATGATGGCTCCGCTCTTTGAATGCTCCCCGGATTAGCCAGCAGCTACCAAGCCAAGACGAGGGAGCACCGAGCAACAACCCCCAAGAGTTTACAGGAATGAGCCGAAGTACGTTTTTAAAATACATTTCAACCATTTGCCATGAAAGATGAACTCTAAACTAGAAAAGGGTGGAGGCTGGGGTGGAGGAGGCAAAGCTTTGCCCGCAGTGTGGTCTGTAACAGCGTAGGTGTAGAATGAATCAGTGAGGAGGGAGTCGTATTTAAATAAACCTCCTTGAAGTGAGAGTGGCTGTGATTGGTGTATGGCCGATTGGAAGCTTCAATTGGCTGGCTGTCAGCTGGTTACATCTGGGGGCGTATGACTTCCGTGTCCTGCATGAACTTACGCTAGCTTCATTTTTAAGACCAAATACATCATTACCAGAAATTGAAGAGCCAAAGTGAAAAAGATTGGACATAATTTACCTGCTGTCCTTCAAACTGATTTGCAATTTCTTCCAATTATATTCTGTCAATCATTTTTGCAGAACTGGATGTCACATTTACAAAATGATGGACGTACGCGACTTTTCATATATACGCCGAACACAGCGGGAACAACGCCCAGTAACTCCCATGACACATTGGCCATCCAGGTCAGGAGACTACTCTCTCAGCCTGGGTCTGGTTGTAGCCTGCGGCAAAGTAGTAACACTTTTCAAAAGAAAGAAAGTTTACTTCAAAAAAAGGAACTGCATGCCATAAATGATATGCTGACCTTGGACAATATGTTCATAAATGGCAATAATAATGACAAACCCACAGAGAAATAATACTGAACTCTGCAAACTACCTCAACTCCAAGCAGCATTTTAGCAACTTTCAGCAATTGTTTGGTTTTCCCGTGCTGCATAGTACGGCAGAACCTGACTCAGTTGGAACCGTGTCCTTTTGGGTTTCCATTCGAAAAAGTTGTGGATAGTACCTGGAACCTGGTACTTTATTTTGGTAAGACCTCGGTCGGGGTTCCAAGTGAGCTGAGCCGATACTAGAAGGTGGAGATCAAAGAGAATTGTCCCATTCCAAACACCCAAGCTACCAGCAATAGCAAAGGTAATTCTTTATTTACTCAACCCAGATTTTTACGAAAATGGCCGCCCGCAAAACTTTGCATTACAATACTCAGTTGTCCATGGTCTACAGTACGTACACTATGTACGGGGGTTCCTCGGTCTGGTTGACGATGAAAAGATCCAGCACAGAGTTTTGTGTTGAAGATGATGTCAAAGCAGGTTGACATTGGCATTGCGACGATCCCACCTACACTGAGAGGTTACTATCTGCAGTGAGAAATGAACTAGAGAAAAGCACCATGGTACAAGTGAGTCGAGTGGAGCTGAACCATGCAGTGGAAGGGAGGCATTGGTGGAGCATTTAGCAGCTAAAGAGACAGTTTCTCAAAAAATGGTGAAGACCAAAACAGAGCTAAACCATTACGTTACACACCATCAGGTAGCCGAAACTCCAAATGGATGCTAATGCTGCTACATGTCTGCTGTATGTGTGACAAGGCTGGAAAACTTGCAAATACTTTATAAGAGTGTACTATGTCAATCATTATATTCAGCTTTCTGTTGAGTTTAGCCCCCAAGCAGACATAAAAAAACAGATTAATTCAGCTTTAATTATCTACATTCAACCAAGACAATAATAATGTTGACAACTATAACAAAATCTATTTGATAATGAACTGATCACTCTCAATAGGCTACGATGCTGCCATGGTCTGTTATGCAGTATCTTGGTGATGTATAAAGCATCAAAAGATCAAGTTTGTCTGTGTCCAATCACTTGTATCATGAGTCTGTTGGGGATCCTGTAATGGATTTATGCTTCTAAGGAATAAAAATGATGTATTCCTGGCTAGTGACAGTTTAAGCCTCACTGACATGGAGTACTTGCCATGGCCACTATGGCCACCTTGTGTTTCTTTAGGTCTTCAATTGCTTCTCAGGCCTTAGAACTGGTTCCTCTTCAAACTCTCCACCAATGACATGGCTCGAAACAATTTCAACAATCTGAATTTTTGATCGTTCTCTGGATTGATAAATTCAAGTGGATCCTTGAATGCTCTGCCTTGACCCGTCCCTCTCTCTTCTCCCTCTGCAGGTGTGTTTGTTGGAGTGTGAGGGTCACGTCTCCTCCTCACTTACATGGGAGGTGTGTCAACGTGCCGTGAAGCTGTCCCGCCATCCCACACTGTCTGAGGGGGGCGCTCTGTTCAAGAGAATCGGAGAAGAGCTGGAGCTGACCTCTCTCGACCTGAACTCTGACAGTGAGCTGCTGCAGTCCGCAGCCGCAGAGCGCTTCGCGGAGGGGGAGCGGGACAAGGTGCCCTTTGAGCAGCGCAGTGTCCAGTATGACTCATCGCCGCTGGAATCCTCCGAGGGGGGGGAAGGCCTGCTGGGCCCGGATCTGAGTCTGGCAGACGGCGAGAGAAAGCCAAGGGAGCAGAGGAACGTGGGGAGTGACGGCCAGCAGGAAGGGTTGAGCGAGGATGAGGGCTCGGAGGCCGTCACCTTGTCCAAACGCTTCGGCGGCTTTCAGAGGGGGCGCCACGGGTACAGGAAGCTGATTGGCTCGCCCATGAGGCCCCTACAAAAGCGCTACGGCGGGTTCATAGGCGTCCGGAAATCCGCCCGCAAGTGGAACAGTCAGAAACGGGTGAACCAGCTGCTCAGGCAGTACCTGGGCATGAGGAACAGCCGCAGCGGCAGGTTCAACAACGCCCCCGTAACTCTGGTTTGGAGGAAAAACCAACTGTAATGTGTTTCCGTTTGACCTCGCACCCCAGTTACCTCAACCAATCACATTTTCATCAGCTCACTCACACTTTGAAGAGCAACGTCGCCATCGTCACCAGAGGAACAGACTCCGCCATCTTGCCGCACCTCTCTCTGTGTCTCCAAGTAACGAGGAATGTTTTTTGACCGTGATGTCCTTCGTATCAAGCACATGTTCATGCCATTCTGTGAAATAAAAGAATTAGAGAAGTGCAATCGAATATATATTTTTGTGTGTCGGCATAATAAAGAAAAAGGGCCAAATGAGATTGGAAAAGTGGTTCACCGCGAGCTTTTCACCAGAGGTGAGACCTGAGGGCGGGACATTTAAAATCACGCTGAATGCACTTTCATGCATGTGTGGATGGATGCTTTGTTTTGCACTCCGTGTTATGTGAGCTGTTACTAATGTCCATCTCTCATGTGATGGACCTACTTGTTACTACATAGGTTTCCCCTTTTTAAATGGTATTTTGGGACGAAACAAATCACATTATTATTATTTCAGATTGTTCAGTCAGATGGTTGGACACTGCTGAAGCACAAACTGTTAATTGCTGATAAAGGAATCTAATTTTCTGCTGAAGGAACTTCATTAATTAAACACAATGGATGGGAAATTTTAAATTTTTAAATTTTAAATTTTAAAAATTCCTCAAACTCACTAAAACTCTGGATCTCTCCTAAAAAGAAGCATTGTTCCCATTGCTTCATTCTGAGATTTGACAAAATAAATTAATTTTACCTTTCTATTGTATTCTAATTCTGCACCATTTGATGGGGGGATATCAATGTAAAGCTGGCAAGTGATGAGTTTCTCTTCCAGGAAGCAGCAGGTTAGCAAGCTCACGAGGGCTCCTCTCAGTGGAACCATACTGCCCTCTAGTGTTTCTTTGGATACTGACTGCCATGTCCTCAGTAAGATTTCATGTACTTCTTTGGATTTTTCTGCAATTACAGTGAAATGATAACTAACATAAGATGTCAAACATACAGATACACTTGATTTATGGCTGATATGTCCTTCCCACTCGAACTGAAAGAAAGTTCCCGAAAGACAGAGAAACGTATTATCGCTCATTCTGACAGTATTAGTAGTGTCTGTCTATTAGCCAAACATCTAAGGGACTGTACACAAATGATTTGAGTGAGGATGGGGGCTGAACCTTATAGTTCCCCTTTTATAAAAGCAAAGCCTCCAAAGCAATTGAATTAGTAGAGTTAATTTCACTATTAAGAACAAAACTAAGGTAAAGTGTGGAGAATTGACTCTTCGCTAAGTCCCGCCCTCAAACGCCAACTGGCTAATCATAACGTAGTGTGGTTTCAAATGTTTTTCATGTTGTTAAGGCTGGTTAAGTGGATTTGGAGCTCCTCCTGGTTAAACGTTGCATAATAGTGATACTCGTTATCCGGGGTGGTTGGAAGGAGATACGTTTCTACATAAAACCCTGTGGAGCTAACATTAACGTACAGAAGCTATACTGAATGTATACACAGGCTGCTTTAGCGTTTTAGTGATTGTAACCGTGAATAAAGACTTATAGGACCAATGTTGTTCTGTCTGGATCTCCAGGTGATGTGGTGGTTCACTTTAACTCTGTGATCTGTAGCTTCAGCTTCTATCTTTATTTTTTTTAACCTGTTTTCACTGCGGAATCAGTTTGACATGCTGGATATATCCTTCAAACACAGTGAAGGCCTTTCGGTCTGCTTCTCTAGGAAATCAATTTCTTTGCTTTTCAAAAAACTAGACTATGTCTTCAGTAACTGACAGCTTGTAGCAGCAGGGGGCGGGGCTTAGCGACAGGTCAGTTGTAGGACAATTCAGTATACCTAGATTTAACCCATAATATATGATTATAGCAATAATCTTACAGCCATGAATTTGCACCTTCGAAGTTCCAGAGTTGTTTCAGAAATTGCAAATCCTCCCCGCACGCAGATCCCAAATATTCCAATTCTATTTCATCTAATCATTTTCGTACAGTCCCTAACTTACCCTGCAGCTCTAGAAATGAGGGAGCAAAAGTTAGAAGTGAGGTGGAGGTGTAACCTCCCTCCACCCGGGGACACTTGGTCATGTCACTGTAGTCCAGAAGTGCATGAAGCTGGAAACTGGCAGGGCCGCTGGGTGTGTATCGCACTGTTGGATGAGAGAGGAGGTCTAAGTTACACCCGCCCTAGAAACCACCCTCCTAATGTCCCATTTAAGAGCAGGGAGGAGGAAGGGGAGGGGGGAGGGGGGGGTGTAGTGAAGTGAAAAGTGCATGTCAGCTGTGGTCATTATTATACAGAATAACACATTTCTGCTTGGGTGAAAACATGTTAATTTGTCCTGCCCATCAACATGTTTCCCTCCACTTGCAGGTCACATCCATTCTTTTGCATCTTAACAGCGTTTAATTGTTTATTCGTGTTTCAATTACAAGGTGTAATAACGTATGCGTATGAGTGCGTGGCTGATTGCAGTGTGACTGTGCACATGCATGTGTGCGATTCTCTGTCAACCCAACACAAAAAAAATGGAACTTGTGAATACAGTGTACATTTCAGACTACATTTCTAACATTATACCATTGTTCTGAGTCTTCATACAAAATGTGTATAGAGAAAACTACAATAAAACAGTTTGCTATTTCTTTTGTGGACTGTCATGCAGAAGGAAAAAACAACTACCAAACACTTTTCAAATTCTCAGTGATTTTTAATTTGTGTTTGACAATATATTTCCTCTTTTTTTAATTAATTTTTTTTATTGCTTTTACAAACTCATTTGCCTAATGCTAGTCCCACTGCCATGACTCCATAGCTTAAAAACCATTAACACTGGTCGTATGCCAACACACGGGCAGGAAGGAAATAGGAACTTGGTTGAGTCGAACCAAATGTAGCTTATTCTTGTGAGTTTATATTCTAACAAAGTGCCAAAAAACATGAATTAATAAAAACAAAGAATCTGCCCAATACACAGGCGGAACAAGACGATAAAAAAAAAGAAGGTATAAAATACTTGTACGTAACTCAAAGCACACAATATAATGTACATCATAACCACTGTGTAACCACTGGAAGAGAGGATTGGAATAAAGAAAACAGCCAAGTAGCAGTCTAATACAGTGGAGCTACAGGGGCAGTAATATGAACCTTTGGATAAAGTAGGAGAGTATTGTAGGCTTAGCACATCACATGGTCAAAGTCAGTCAACAGTTAGCACCGTCGCAGACTTCACTTTTTAGGATCAAGTTACAAAGATACAGAAAAGTCCACTTGCATTTATTTAGGAAAGGAAACAAAAAGATTGAGACTACATCCACACTAATACCTCCATGCCCACGAGCGTTTTAGCACCATTTCTAGAAGTGATCTCCGTCCATACTAACATGCACGAAAACACATATTTCAGGAACTTTCACGCACGCTCGTCGTATGCGTACCGGTGTAAACAGGAAGCAGACTGTCTACTCTGCGGTTTGAAGAACAGCGATGGCGAAAAGTGAGACCAGAGATTTCTTAGCTTGGACCTGTTAAAAGGAGCGTTTAGGAGGATCCAATGTTAAGAACTATGTAATAAGTATCAACTGAAAAATAAGAATCAATGTGGGTTTTTTTCCTTCAAATGAGCCGTTTATCTCTATTCTGTAGCTCAGAATGGACAAACCAAAGATACTGTTTCACATTGCTTTGGATCGCACCGTAGTTACAGACATTTGGCAGAGATTTGGCAGAGAAGTTTCAGTCTGTTGCAATCTGCAACCTCACCACTAGGTGACGCCAATGACTATATACACAAGGCGGTCAAGGTGGCGGAAAACATAGATAGGGCGAGTTGTTGCCAAGCACACGCCGTTCCTTTTCTTCTGGAAACGGGTCACGTGCACAGTTTAATTTGTGCCGGATCTCGTCGCACCAGGATCCGGGACCTCTCCCTTTTTCCACCGCCCGTGTGTCGATACCTTATTTGCGCGGATCCGGTACCTCTCGCTGCATAAAAGTCAAAAATGATCACATGATTACAGCTAAGCAGAAGTGTTTGTGCTGTGAAATGAAAACGGCTAAATCGGGGGGGGGGGGTGTCAATGGACAGAACTCAACACGGTTACTAAAGTTTTGTTTATATGGTTATACGGAGTATGTACGGAGCTGTTTATACTCTATGCAGTGCATTATTTTCCGAAAGGCCAGAGGGTGTACAAACTGTGAAGAATCAAAAAGACCACGAGTGTAACGCAGAGATTCGCCAATAGACTGAAGGTGTAACCAGCATACAGCCATAAATCAACCTCCACGATGCAGAGGAGGGATTGTAATTATCTGTAAACTCATATCTCATATTCAGGGACTACTTTACTGCCTTCGTACAAACCCTGTAAAGAAAGAAGACAAGTATTAAAAGCATTACAAAGAAACGTACGTTGAATATCCTGTAAACTATTTGATTTGGCTGCAAAATATTGACTCAAATGAAGATTTCTAAGACCCCCTGATTCTAAAGCATTTAAAAGAATTGTCCTTTGTATAATCCCGTGACATGTAAATAGTGCTTTTATCAGTGAACCATTTGTCACATTCACGTGATCGATATCGCCGCGCACCTCCGGCCGAGTTTACTTACGGCAGCAATCCACAGACAGAAATAAACCGACAGAGAGAGATTTGCACTGTTATAGGGAACTGACCAATCAGGAACGGACACATTGTGACTGATAAGAGCCAATCAGAAAGCGAACATGTCTGCGCTTTCAAAATGCTCCATTTTAGCAATTTGATAGCGTCGGAGTAGCGTGGATGTAAAGGTAACCAGGCGTAAAACCTAGCAGAAGTTATGCATTGCAAAATGAAAACATATTAGTGTGGATGTAGCCTGAAAGAAAACAAACCACAAGTGCTGTTTTTCTTGATGGCTCTCAGGCCCTGATTGATAGCCTCTTTTTGATAAAAGTCTTTTTTTTTAACCACTCATCCATCCATCCACGTCTTTCTTTCCCATGCTCGCTCGCTCTCTCTCGCTCTCTCTCCCCGTCACGCAGCAGTCTTTAGTCGAGGAAGCGCTGGCAGGCCTTTTTCCAGCGACAGGCAGTGCACCACTGATCCTTGCGCTCCACTCCGTACACCTTGCGGCACTTTTTGGCCTCCCCGCGACCCTTCCTGCAGATGCAGAGACACAAATCATGTGGATGAGAAGTGATGAGAGAGGGCAAAGGAAAGGAGAGGGCGCTGAGACGCACACTTGATGTGAGCAATCTCTATAAAAACATGAGACTCAGGGGAAATAACAAATTAATAATAATGAAGAGAAGATTGAATCAATTTGATCTTTCCTGGCCATGTCATGGAAATGTGATTTCTCCAGACAGTGGGCGATAAAATGACAACCAGGAGGTGAGAGATAGTGGACAGATGCTGGAATCATAACAGAAAGCAGCAGAAGGATGTGAGGACCCAGATCAATATAGATTATTTACACTCCATGTTCAAAATATATGGAACCTTCTTGATACCGGGCTTCTACATCTGAACTGTAAAATAATATATGAAAACTGGACATTAACAACAGCGTCGCCTCACCACTGATCAGGTCTCGTTACTATAGCTGAAGGAATCTGGTGATAAATCAATTAGCCAATCCTCAGAAAAAAGAACACATTGATTATTGTTATAATTTAGTTTGAGGATTTTTCAGGGATTTTTAAAAATATGTTAAATATTCCCTAGTTCTTCCCTATCTTCAGATTTTTGAGTGTTAGTCAGACAAATCAACACATTTGATGACGTCATCTTGGTATTTCGGAAACTGTGAAGGACATCTTCCATTATTTCATTTCATTTTATAGACCAACTGATTGATTGATTGATTGAAAAAAAGTACTTGTAGATAAATCAAGAATGAAAATAATCATTTTAATGCATAGACTTGAATTGGACAACAAATACATTTATGTTGCTCTTGTTTTCTGGAAGTTTAACGAGTTGGCTTTCAAGAGTAACTTCTCCTCTTTTTCTATTCATGTATTCATAACCTGACCCGTGATCTTTTCCTAAACCGAACCAAGTAGCTTTCTTGTCTAAACCTAAGGAGATTCATGGCTGGGCAAACCTCTCCCACTTGTGCTCAATTTCTCTCACCAGTGTGGCATGAAAGTGGGATTAGCAAGCTAGCTAGCTAACTAGCCAGCCGCTAAATGATTAAATATGAAACAACTTAACGCTTCATCCACATACTCTCGTCACAGCGTAGGAAAGCACTTTGCTATCACCAGATGAGTGACAACTTTGTTCGGATCATTTCCTGTAACCAGTGTAGCATGAAAGCATGGGGGAGTTAGTAAGTTTAGCTAGCTAACAAGCCTGCCGCTAAATAAGGGAGATCATACAACTTCCTCCACATCAAAGACTCTCGTCACAGCACGTTGCTATCGCCAGATAATCTACCAATCACAGCACAGTATTACTAGCCATTGCAAGCCAATCACAGCACCGTAGGGCGGGACCAGGCAGAACACTCTTGGGGCTGAAAAGATAACGCAGTGTGACAGAAACATTACCTGCTAAACATCAGAATGTTAGCATGTAGCTCAAATCAGTGCTCTGCCTAACAACGTATGGCACAGAGACACACGCATGGCTGTAGACTCTTTGTGGTGTTTGAATTCTAAAAGCAGGTAAAAAAATAAAAGAGTTGAAAGTCAAGACCTCGAGCAGGAACAAAGCCTCACCTGAAGGAGCAGTGAGTGCGGGAGGGAGACACACTTATTGGCTGCAGCCTGTTCTGTTGGAGCCACTGTTCCCCGACACTGACAGACCGACAGCGAGGTTTGACCACCTAAAGAGACACACAACCACAGAGAAAGTACAAAAGCAGAATGAAGAATAAGTCACGAAAGAGGCATCAAATGTGGTCATTTCATTTCCCTGTGGCCGGCATGGTTGCTACACAAGCATTCGTGGCTGTGTTCTCTAGATTAGTCAAGTCAGGCTGTCGGGCAGGTAAACAAACAGACACATATGAAGACATAACAGGACAGAAGACCCACCGGAGTGTTACTGTGGCCAGTGACGGAGGTGGAGGGGGTCCAACCCTGGCAGCCAGGGCTTCTGGGGGTCCCAGATACCTGGATAGGGCTACAGGCCTGGATGGAGTAGAAGAGAGGAGGCAACACATGATTCACCTTAGAAATAAGGGTGCCGAAAGCTTCTTCCTGATGGGCTGAGGTTCTACCCAGAACCATTTGCCAAACCACAATCCTCCAGCAGCCATGACACCCACGCAAACACAAGTGCTGCTCCATTAGCAGCACTGACCCACAATTCAACCCACCCTGGGCAGGACCTCCCCTCCAGATTCCTGCATCCCTGAAGAAATGTGGTCCAAAGAATGGACAGAGTTTTACATCTGTACCACATAAGAACATGCACATTTTTCAAAAAGTTTGCAGGTTGAGTCAATCCAAAGTGGGCACATGTCTACATCTGGTCCTAACCGGCCGTACACAACCACACTGGGAGATTCCATGTCGTGTTTTTCTGCCATTTACAGGCTGGAGAGAGTCTAGTCTCCTTGGGGGAGACAGCTTACTCTCTCACTGTCACAAAGCATCTATTTACAGACTCGGCGGTACAGGGTAAATGCGGGTCACCAGTGAAATGTGCTGCTTTGTGATGCATAAACAAAGTAGTAGCTCATTGGCTCGTTAGAGTGGGTATCTACATGGGGAGACAACCCCCACGACAACCAGGCAACATAAAAAAAAACACGGCACAGAGACTCCTGTAAAATTAAGAGAATGTCCTTTGAGATATTTATATTTAGCAGGAGAAAATCCGTACACTCCATTTTCATTTGCAGCCTGATTTCATGGAAAAGACGACTGAATTTGGGCGACAGAATACAAATCCCGGTATTCGCACGCTGCATCCATGTCTGACATTGAATAATTCATGCTAACAAGAGCTGGGCTGTCTCCTTTTAGTCGCTCTCAGAACGATCGCCGCCCACAAAACATTGCTCGCTTGCAGAGAAGAACTCTGGGAAGTAAACAATTATTTATTAAAGTTAGGGATCTTAAATGCCAATGCTAAAACGGGTACTTTGTGCCAAAACTCAAATAGACCGAAAAGAAATCTCTCATATTCGATGGGTTGAGTGTCTCATTGGAATAAATTTCAGCCTGCAAACAGCTTTTAACATTAACAAAGCCTTGAAAAATCCCCATTCAAATCGGGACTAATTACATTATTTTCGGCTGGTTAAGCTCCGACACTGCACTGATCAATCATCTGCTCAGTCATATGAAAAGGAAAAGTAATATTTAAAACCATATTTACCAGCTGTGGTCTGGGAGGAACCTATGTCATCTGTTATTAGCTAGATGTGACTATATCTTATTATTTTCTGAAAATAATCCACATAATGATCCATTTAAAAGAAAGGAAAATATAACTGTTGTAACAATTTCCTGAAACTGCATCCAGCTACGGATTCATATGTTATATTTGCACAAAAACAGAGGTGAAAAAGAATCACATGTTGTGGTGTGAAGTGGGTTATTAATCGGGGACTATTTTAGGGTTTAGAGCTGGTAGATGGCTTTTGTCACCTCTAGACAGAGCCTGGTAAGCTTTTCACTCTTTTCTAGTCTTTATGCTAAGCTACGATAACTTGTTACCTCTCTCGTTATTGAAATGTCAAAAACACTCTTAGTATTCACATTTTTTGTAGAAATAGTGTAATTTCCAAATGATCCCGATCAGTCAGAGGACTTATTGGCTCAGAAGAACTTTTTCATTTCCCTTGTGCACCCACTGTTCCTGCCAGTACTTTACAGCCATCACAGTCAGCAGGCCAAAACTCCTCGGAGACCACAGAGCAACGCGGCTGCACCCACCTGATAGAGATGCTCTGAGTGGATCTGCCAGAAGCTGCTGGGGGCCGACTGGCTGAGCGGACTGGGCCTGCTCGGGCCGGCCCCGGAGCTGGAGTTGGACCTGGGTCTGTGAGCTGGAGGGATCTGGAGCCCAGAGGGAGGAGGGGAACTGCAGGAGGCCCAGCTGAGATGGGAGGACGAGGACTGGCCCAGAGCTTGCTGGGAAGGAGCCGGACCTGGAACTGGAGCTGGAGCCGGACTTGGAGCTAGAGCTGGAGCTGGAGTAGAGCTGGCGTCCACAGTCTCACAGGAGATCTTGGTGTAGTAGAAGTCCTCCTCTCTCTGGGACTGATCTGACCCACTGCTGTGTGAGGCAGGCGGAGGGACGGACCAGATCAAAAGTGAGAGTTGTTAACTTGGACCTTTACTGAATGCAGCACTCGCTGTGGCCCAGATAGAAAAAAAAATCTCAAAATGTTTCAACACTTCCTGTAACTAAGTCAGAGCACTCCCACAACCTGAAAATTTGATTCCCTCTTGTTTTTTTAATGTTGTTTTGCAGCTCAGAAATGTTCTAAACGGCTGAACTGTCTGGTTTACACTAAACCTCAGACTACAATGGAGGAGTGGCTGAAACCCTAGGATGTCATATTACTACCTCTATAGCAATAGATACACCTGAATTACTATTATTATTATTATATTGTATTCTTTCAACTAAAGACAACAATATTGCAGTTTAAACGGGATTAAAACATTACATTTTGGTAATAGTGATGGAACTCAAACCTCTTTTTTTGGTACAGACTGAAATGTGTTTGTAAAACTGTCAAGTACTTAGCTTGTAATCTTGTAGACTCATTTTTAAATCGATGAGTAAATCTACTTTCATTCATTAAAGAATTGTTGCATTGAAAAATCCTCTTCCCTATGTGCCATGGCATGGTTCATGGTGTTGAGGTGGAGCCAAAACATTGTAGTAGTTCAGTAGTTATTTAATAATTTTTAGTTAAAAGATAGAAAGCGGCTGGAATAAACAGGACACACACTTTTGTGTCCATTTTTTTTCATTATTTGAAGATATTCGGGGGATGGGCCCGTATGACGAAAACCCCGACGCAACATCGGCAAACGTCACAGCTGCAACAAAACTTGGAAAATAGCGATATAGGATGGGGGAACTGAATTTGATGAATTTACTGTTAGACCCCTAATGAGACAAGAATTACACCCGCGGACCCTCCGCCTCTCTCTGCCGCTGGGACGAGAGCGGGAGCCACCTTCGGAGACGGCTCGCCGCAGCTGTAGCGACTAGAATTCTTTTCTTTTTTGTCAGTGAGACATAAGGTTCAGCCCCCTCCACAAAAAAATACACTGTCATTTTCTTACAGTCCCTAAATTATCAAAAAAGTATCATTTTGGTGTCTGAACCTGAAGTCAGGCACTGCAGCAGCACCAGCATGGAAGCATTCCCAGCATCCATCTCTAATTGGGGATGCAACTGACTGTACGCGTAAATCCAACTCACCCCAGATGCAGCACACGGATGTGTCTTTTCATTCCAACTGAAGACGTGAGCACCTTGCCACAGCTGGGCCACAGACACCTGTACACACCTCTGAAAGAGCTCTGAGAGAGAGAGAGAACACAGGTGAAGTACACGGACAGGAAATCAGGAGAAATGCACAGAAAGACTCAAAGTCTTCAGTCACATGCTGCCTTTGCTGGTTCTAAGGGCGCCTGAGGTCTCCACCACACGGCGCTGAACCTTCAGCTGTGACCAACGTATGCAGCTGCGCACCTTTGGCTTCTTGGCATTGAGCTCCTCTCCCTGCTCCAGCTCCATTTGCAGGCCTTCGTCGGGGCTGCTGTCCATCTCCGTGACGGACGGCGAGGGGGCGGGACTCACGTTGCCGTGGTCCCAGCTCCAGTAGCCGCTGCTGCCGCTGTCGGAGAGCTCGCCGCCGCCACACTCCATGTCAGCTGAGGAAGACGAGCCAGCTGGAAAAGCAGGAAGTCCGTTCTCAGAAACTCTTTTTACCGAGTGACCTCTCAACACTATAAAGAGGTGAATACATCTAAACACGCCACCATCGTTGTCCTGCCTGATCCTCAGCTAAACAGGTGACTGTGAACACATGCTCTATGGTTTAGGAATCAGATATTGTGTGAAATAGAAACTGTGCATTAGGGACAGGAGACAGCAGGTGTCTCACACTGTGTGTTGTCCCATCGTCTCTTTAAATGCTCTGTTCCATGTTTACTGCTATTTTGTTTTTCACCTTGCCAAAAAATCTTTAATTGCAAGAAATCTAATTTTTTACTTTAATCAAAGTTTTAAAGGGAAAGTAGACCCGGTAGTAGCTACTACATCCGTCCTGCATGTTTCTTTATTCAGCTTCTATCTATCGGAAGCACAGCAGGGATTTTCACAAGCAATTCCTCTTAGTGAGACTAAGTTTTCATATTTCAATATTCATAAGTGATAAAACACACCTTGCTCGATTCAATCCACTCAGGGGCTTTCGTGGTTTCTTGGTCTGTTATGACCAGCAGCTTATGGCGGCTAATGTTAGCAAACTTTAGACATATGCCATCGTTCACTGGCTTTAAAACTCTTTTCTACTGAAGAGGAGAGACTACTGGTGAATAGGGTCGAGATTAACTAATAGGTATCACCATTAAACTTCCCCAGTTGATAACTTATATTAAGACAATTCTTCTTTTTATTCCAAGTAATAATGAACAACAATAACAATCTAATTTAGGAGAAGGTATTTTGGATGTTATGGAAGCAAAATGTACTGGTGCATTAAAAGCAATGACTTACGACTCTGTATACAATAATTTAGCGTTCAACATTATATTACTAATGCAACAAGTAACATTATGCAGCTAGAGTTACAAAGTCTCGTTTTAAAACAGCAGAGAGATCAACATCTAAACAAAATGAATTTTGCTCAAAGAATGTTTTCTGGGTCTGATAATAAGGGACATTTTGCATATAAGCTTATATTTGCTTCAGTCCACTGTTGGTTTTACCGCATGCAGCAGCTGCACAAATATTCTTTTGTTATCTATTTTTTTCTTTTTGTTATATACTGCTTTTGTTACTTACCACTTCTTTTGAAATCTTGCTTTACTAACAGAGCACATGTACTGACTACAGCTTTAACAAGGCTGAAAACGAGGTAATACTAACTAACAATAAGGACCCTTTATAAAGGCTTTATAAGCTGTACTGATGTCTTTGTGAGAGATCAATCATAAGACATTATTAATGCTTATTTGGTTCACACAACTACAGACTTGATAATGAAATCCCTTTATTAATAACTTATTAACATGTATTAGTGCATTATTGTCAAATAGAGGAGGATAACCAACCTGGCAACCCAATATTTTTCTTGGCTATGGCTTATAAATGATCTAATGATGATGATGTTTACCATTAATGAAGTCATCAGTGACAGATGCTTTATTAGAAAGCGTAAACAGCTGGACACTGGCGAGGCTGTGTGTTGGTATGAGGTGAGACAGACCTGGTCCGGGATCTGTCTGTGGAGGGCCCTGGACCACGGGGCTGCAGGACAGACTGGTCAGAACCATGGCCGCCATGATCTCGTCCATCTCCACCGACCCTGGGCTGCGGAAACTGGACGCAGCAAACAAAGAAAAGTCTCCTTTAGACTCCTGGCGTGTGACGAGGTGCAGCCCATCACACACCATCACCTGCATCCCTCACCAGTACGGGGCCTCTCGGCTCGCCGGCCCGTTGCTGAGGTGCATTGTGGGTGCCGCGGCTTGCGAGGAAGCAGCCCGGTTGCTCCAGCCTCGCTCGGCCTCCCTCTGCGGCAGCTGGACTGATGTCGTGTTCTTGCGATGCCGGCTCTCCGCGAACGCTTTCTCCACCTGCGCACACCACTGTGTGTCCACCTTTGGTTAGAAGTAATGAAAATAAAGAGCTCCTAGTTAAAAAAATACGGCAGCAGCTTTTGTTCCAACACTACACACCCAGGCAGTAAATGAATGGAAACAGACAGTGAGTAACCCAGACTCTCTTTCAGCCTTATTGGGTTTACATGAGTCTCTCTGTTGACCATGAATAAAGCAGTTTAGGGAATATTTCCTGTCCATCTGTGGCGTCCTGCCTGCAGACAGCACAATCTGCCCATATGACAGTGGGAAAAGGATGTGGGTGCCAGCTTCTGACCAGGCGGCGCATTACGCATAATGCAGGAGGAGGAAATCATCATCCATTTGAGGATGCTCTTTCCTTTTTCTGTGGCTTACTGAGATGTTCCTCCTCCCATCATCAAAATATGAGTCATAACCAACATATTGCCTCCTGGCGACTGCTATATTTACATGTGTTTATCCAAAAACATAAACGAATGAATAGATAGAGGGGTTGGAAGTGACGTGAATTGGGAGTCCCTCTCTCCGTCCACTCACCAGGGTCCGCTGCGTGTCGGGCCCGCCGCCGCGCGTCGTTACCGAGGCGCGGGCCTGCGTTCCCTCCGGGCTGACTGCCGTCCCGCCCGGCCCTGCTCCGGCTCTGTCCTCAGGTCCCATAGCTGCCACGGTGCTGCTGCACACAACTGAGGGGAACTGGATGTCACACCTCCCTGCAGACGAGACACCAGGTACAACATGAGATTAGAACCAGTCCAAAATATCTGACTGCACTGACGAATGTTTCAACAGCAATGCAATATGCATTAAATGTTTTATTAAAGTTAGTGTTGCACTTCTATTACGTTCGGGTACTCAAGGCAGATTTAAAAAAAAGTATGCCCAGCAGAGGTCGAGATATCCTGACGGGCTCCCCTAGCTTCAAAATCACTGGATCCTACATTTCCCACAATGCAACTCCATAGCATCTTTCATTCGAACCTCTCCGCCTCCCAGATGTCCACTTCTTTCGAAGCCCACACCACGTGACATTCATGTGTAAAAGTGCCCGTTTAAATCCACTTTATATTTGAACAACTTCCTTCTTAAAAGCATTAAGCCTTGAAGGTTAAAGGTTATTTCCAAACAGGAAGAACCACGGCACCAAATGATAACCGTTAGGCCGTCTCTGATGAATGAACATGTTGATCGAGAAGGTGAGCGGTGAGTCTTGGATCTCTCTGCCTGACAGCGCAGAGCAAAAACACCGCAGGGGATTTTAAAAATGATTGCAAACATTTGAAGTGAACACAGACTTGTGAGCGTTGAGCTGGTGCTGCAGTTGTGTTGTCTATTCTGATAAAGTATGCGACTGATAAGGAGTTCCGGAGACGTGATCTGACGTTCACTGTGACCTGACGCTCATAGAGGTAAAATGGGGGTAGTGCTGCATTCAAGGCACGTGGGAATAATGCTGATGAAATGGTCAAATGGCTCAAAACTTTTACTAAAAAAATGTACTATGCTTGGAGTATTATGTCACTTTAAAGCTGTCAAACTCAATGACTGGAGACACATTTGAGCTCATGTTACAGTAATTATTCAATCCCTGGCAAAGATGCCAAATAGTTTTGTCTTTTTCAGTTTTATATTCTTGTGAATTAAATATAAAACAAAAAACTTTGCAGACTTGCCACTAACCGATAATAATACAAATAATAATATATAATGTTTATTTTGGTGATTATGAAAATGACCATGATTATCTGTTTGTTGTACAGGATTTGTTATTAATATGAATATAATGATTCAAATACATTAAAAAACACCAAACACGACGATAAACTGTCAAATAACTCTGAAATAGTCCTGATACTGTGTAATATTTTATAAAGGTAGCCGTGTCACAAAGTGAATAGTGTACACAGTCGTTCATGTTCATAAACTGCACGTTGTTTACCTCTCATTAGACCGTCGTCTGACTGTTTTCAACGAGTAACGCTCTCTGTGCACCCGAACGCAGCACAAAGCCCGATTTCCCCCTCCACATTTGCACCAATCAGCGTCGGGCTTCGGTAGTAAACAAGCGCCACAGTCTGGGCGGGGGATCCGCCGCTCATTGGCTGAGCTCTGCGTTTCAGGCACACACCTCCTTTCTGACAACGTGTGCGGACACGAGTTTTTCCGGGGGGATTGTGAGCCGGACGGGCAACGCTGCTGCAAATAACCGCACTTTTGAACGCAAAAAAAAAAAAAAAAAAAAACACAGCACGGTGAAATTACACTCGCCACCCATCATGCAACAGGAGAAGGAGGTCGACAGAAGGGATGCAAATGTAGCGTGTGCTGCTAAAATGAACACACAAACAATAACGTCACCAGCTCCTACTGATTTAGCGGAGGCGGATGCGATCAATTTATGGACGCATAATAAGAGCTTACACGCATTTTAATACTACAACATTAAAAATAATGACGTTATAACATGGGTTATTGCAAATGTGCTGTGAGTCGCACGCGGTGACAGAGCTTTAAATGACGCAATTCGCACTTTCCCAAACAAATACAGCCTTGTTTTGTTTCTATAGCGGTGGTTATGATGCGCTTTATGATACTCACTTGAATATAAGTCAGAGTTTAATCATCCGTCAACTACAACACTGATCTCCACCCGGCAACGCAGATTGAGAGCAGGAGAAACACCCCCTTCCCTCCTCCCCCTTCCCTCCCCCAGCTCAGCCGCTGTAGGAAAACAATATTTTCTACGCTGCTTCGCTGCAACGCACCAAAACATATCCGCTTAGAACATTAACCACAATGTATTTTTTTTTTCTTACTCGTTCGGTGGAGACCTCGGTCCTGTCCGTCCCGTCACTGAGCTTCAGAAGCCGGTCGTTGCTGCTTGGCTGGCTGTCCCGCCGCTTGCCGGCTCTCCAGTCTGTCAGGGGGGGTGGGTGTGTGGGGGTTGGAGGAAAAAGGGGGTTGGTCGGTCGGATACGCGCCCTACGTGCGTCTGTTTGCCGAACCAATGCCTGCGCAGTGGCAGCTGTGCAGAGCGCAGAGACATCGACCACGAGCGCGCGCCGTGCACAAAAGTATGATGTAGGTGAGGGGTTACCAGAGCAGCAGCGGCAGACAGCATCCTCACTGTCGGTCTGTCTCTCTGTCTGTCTGTCTCCCTTAAGCACATACAAATCTGAGCTTTAGAAATTGGGTTGACGGTTTGGATTCTGTCCTTAATAAAGAAAAACAAGTGTGCAAAATTAGATATTTCAACATGAAATGCATTGCATTGAAAATACACAGAAGGGTTCAGCGTATTTATATCCCCCACACAATTTCTATATGTTTTATGGAGATGCTACAATGCAAATATGCAGTATATGATATCCAATATAAACATAGTACCAACATGGATCAAATATACCACAAACTACCACACGATCACTCAGACATTCAGCAGTAGAAGTGCCAATAGAAATATCATAATAGTGTTATATACTAAGGAATATGTGCAGTGTAATGCTGCTACTAATATGACGCAGTGAAATAACTATATGATATGATTATATTTTAAAAAAAACACAGATGAGTGATGAAAACCTTTCATGCATCATTAAAAGTTGTAATCCAATAGCTCAAAACTAATAAAACTGCTGACACCACGGTTTATACAGCATGTATCAACCCCCAACATCACATGATAAAATGCCTGCATGGAGATCATACACAATTTGCATGTGTGATTCCAACGTGTGTGTGTGTTGCATAGCCCGTGCCTGTGTGTGTGTGTGTGTGCGTGTGTGTTTCCGTGTGTGTTCGAGAGACCGGATTAGTGCCGGCTGTCTGCAACCCTCTCCACCAGACATCCAGTCAGCAGGGATTTTAGGGTCTGAGCACCGACACACTCAGACACAGAGAGAGAGGGGCAGTAACCCAATCCTAGTCCCAATCTCATTCCTAAACCAGACAGAATATTTCATACATTACTGACACCATGTAAGCTTTCCTCAGGCCTTCTGGCATGCGCTGACTGGTGAGACAGGCTGAGATGGAAATGATAAACAGATAATGATTGTTCACAGCAGCAGTGTTGATAAGACATTAATATGTCATTGTACAATAGGTGTAATAATTTTAAGACTAGTGGTTAGCGGACAAGTGTCGGTTTAGATGGGTGGTAGTGTTGCCTACAGTTTAGATGAAGTCCAATTTTAGGACAGTACAAATTGAGATATTCTCTCATTGGAAATAATCCCGCCTACTCTCAACGTATACGCAAGATTCTTAACTGATCGTCATAGCAACGCAAGAAGAAGATCAATGCGACACCAACGTGACATGTTTGCTGACATGTTTTCCATATTCACCGTCTTTGTTTAGCATGTTAGCATGCTAACATGTGTTAATTAGTCTTAAAAACAAAGTACAGCTGTTCCTGATGGGATTGCTATTAGTTTTCTCGGTATGAGTGACACATTAAAGACTTGACACGATGATGAAGTCGGTGGATTGCCAAAGTGATTAAATTAAGCCTGAGGGGAATGTGAATGTTTGTACCAATTCCACGATAATTGATCCAGTAGCTGAGACAATCAAACCTAAATATTTAAACCTCACAGCGGCGCTTGAGGAAAAGGCAAGGGACCACAAAAAGGAAGATTCAAGCCAGATTCATCACATCTGGGAACCATGAACATATGTACCAAATCATTTGATACATATGTTCATGGTCCAAATGTGATGACAATTCATCCAATAATTGTTGAGACGTTTCACGAAAAAACGACTCTGTCAACCTCACGGTGGAGCCAGAGGACAATCAGGGGATCACTGAAGTCAGTCTGGTTCATCCTCTGGGGACCTGAAAATTTCAAAGCAATCCATCCAATAGTTAAGAATTCAGTCTGGTCCAAAGCAGTCGATCGGCTGATGTTGCCATCCTTAAAACAGAAAGTGTCAAAGCCCCTATACCAGCTAGTTACTGAAAAGAATATTTACTGGTACAGGAAGCATATGTTATTCAAAATCTGATATACACAGTCACATTTTGCATAAACCCATTTTAAGACACCCAAACACTTGATATTAATCAATCAAAGTTTGGAGAAAAAACATTATTACATTTATATGTTTATTTCAATTTTGACTTCAAGTTAAAACTCAGCTAATGTGCTTCACCAGGGCCGTGTTGGAGTGGTTTGATTAGATTGAGTGACATTGACCAAACAACCCACCTCATAGTATGACGCTGAGAAAATAATGCTTCTAATGTACAGTGGCAAGGGAAGCAGAATCACTGACATCAGTGTCTCACTTGGGCATGCTATATAAGGACAGCTCAGCAGCTTGATATGGCAGTGCATGACACGACAAACTGGTATGACAAGAACGACAACTCCACCCTACTTTGAAGCTTTTCTGACCTTTGGTTCACTTTCAATGCTCAGGGGCCACTCCCATCTCTACTACCAAGAATGGCTTTTAGACCGTCTTTGTGTCCAGGACAAACAGACCCACGAGTATCAAGGAAGTCATACACGTTTACAACACAATAATTACACGCACTGCAATGACTCAGCTGGTTATAAATCGGCAAAGTGTCCCTTTAAGTTTCGTGAATTGATGTGATGGATTACAAACTTCAAGCCAAACTTCCGCTCATTTATTTGTATATGGTACAGGAGTGGAAACCAGTGGCTGCCAGTAGTGACATCAATAATACATCCCATAATCATTAACTCCACATTAATGCAGTAGTTTGAATAAGGCTGGCAAAAATATTCAAGGTAACATGTTTAATCACCTTCTTGCTGAGAGGTAGATGAGAAAATTGATACCACTATTATATCTGTTTATTAAATTTGAAGCTAAAGCAAGTACTGTTAGCTTAGCTTAGCATAAAGATTGGAAAAGGAAGGGGGGGTAACCGTTTCCTAGCTGTAGCTTCATATTTAATAGACTCATATGATGGTATCGATCTTCTCGTTTAACTCTCAGAAAGAAAGCTGATTAGCTTATTTCCTCAAATGTGGACCTAGTCAGTCAACATGATTTCCGCTAAAGCAAAAACTTTCTGTCCTTAAAAATGTTCTACTGCATTCTACTCAGCTCCATGGCAAATTCAGAATCCAACAAAAAGAAAGTCTTTAGACGAAAAGTTCTTCCCAGATGAATTCAGAATCCATGAATGAGAGACTTAAAAAAGAGGATCTTCCTTGAGGAATGTATCCAGATAAGTGAAGACTGATGTGACATGGTGGGGTTGGTGGCTCGAGCTGGCAGAGGGCAAGGCCAACTTTCTGTCCATTTGGGACAATGTCAAGAGTGGAAAGTGTGTGTGTGTGTGTGTGTGTGTGTGTGTGTGTGTGTGTGTGTGTGTGTGTGTGATATGTGGTGCTGTGTGTTAGTGTTCAGGACTGGAACTGGTTGGTTAGGTGGTCAGAGCTTTGGGTCTGTCTAGTGTGCTGGGAGGCATGCTTCTATGGTCCCTCCATGGTGATGTCACTCCTGGGTCTGGAAACGTCGATGAGAAAAAAAGCGTAAGTGACGCATTAACGTTTGATTGAACATTTTGTTTTCCAATTACAGGGAACTCACCGGCGACTCCTCCTGTCTTTGTGCCGGCGTTCCCGTTGGGTCCTCCTCCTCCTCCATCAGTCTGTCAAAGAGAAAGACAGAAAAGGTTCAAGGACAATAGGGACATAGCTTGTGAACACTATGTCCGTAAGGTAAATATGGAGCTGCCGGTTAGGTCCCTGGCAAAAGCAAAGGAAAGTAACAACAACTGGAGTCGAACAAACCAACAATGTTTCTCGAATTGATTTCCTCAACATCAGAAAGACTTTCAGGAATCTAGCTGTAACGTTTGTCTCACTGAGTGAGAGTATGCTCCACATCCCTGCGTCAAGGAAGGGCTACAATTTGCAGCTTTGATTAGGTTTCGGGTGACTCAACAGACACTGATTTGTTGGTTTTGCCCTTTGGTCTCGTTGTTTGTCCCTCTGCGCTCCTGCTAGTTACATGAGTCAGACAACGCTTGACTCAAACCGCATGCTGTGCCATGATATTGCATTACAGCATATTATTTTTAACATTTTAAAGGCAGGGTAGGTAATCTGTAAAACAAATACATCCTGTTAGCAATCATTGAATCAACTGCTTTGACAGAAAAAAAAAATCTGGTATCTGTGGCTGTTGCAAGACTGTAGTTATCCAATCATTACATTCGGCTTGAATGAATCGAATAGAAAAAGTATCATAATCATAATATGAAATATGTTACTGCTGATTCCATACGTCATACCCAAAACGTTTGTCATTCAGGCTGATCATATTCAGGAAATAATGGTCATGATGTAGTCATAACAGCCTGATAAAATTCTTTCTAATGTTTCACATAATTAGACATTTTAATTGACGGCCTAATCTATTTCCATTAGTCCCACGGGTTTGCATGGTTTGAATCTAAGAAGGCCAGAAGTGGCTACAGTACCACAGCCTCTACTGTCCTCCTTCTGATTATCATCCGCTCTTATTTGGCAGCGACTGAACTGCAACAGATACTACATTGTGATATTGAAGGTTGAAGGTGATGTTGCACGAATGGAGCGAGCTGTTAAGTGACAGACCGGAAACAGAGAGAGAGGTCAGAAACAGTTACCGTCATTCCGACATTCACGTCGTAGGCATTGCCAGAGTTCCTGTGGATAACAAAGAAGAAAATGAGAGGCTATCAAGTGTTACGATGATGTGCCACATCTGTCAGTTAAGGGGACAAAGGTGCATACAGTTCTATTTACATATGTGGATTTGA